GTAGATGTCTGTTAGGTCCAAAAGTTGGATAGTTAATTTTAAATCTAGGATTTCTTTGCTCAACTTCTTTTTGGAGGATCTGTCCAGCACTGCCAAAGGAGTGTTGAAATCTCCGACTATGATGGAGTTGGGAGAGATCAAGTTGCTCATGCCAGTTAGAGTCTCTTTTATCATCTCTACTGGTCATCAGTCATTTTGAACAGTTCCAACAGTGCCCCAACAGCTCCAAAATAACCCTCATGTTCCAAAAACAGAGCTTTTAGCTGTCCTTTGGACCAGAAATCCATGGCATATGCTAGGAGCTTCATGGAGACCATATTGATTCTGAGAAAATTCCCAACAAACACAACTCTATCTATATTCTCATTCAATGCACACATCCGAGCAATGGAGCCAATGTTGTTGGTGATGGTGACCAATGTGGCCCGGGCAAGGTCTTCCTTGCTGATGGAATCTCGCTTTTCTTTACTCATCATGTTGCCAAAGCTTGATGCTACAGCAGATCCTTGAAGGCCAAATCGTTCATAGTCTCCTCCGTAAATGTCCTTCACCAGCTTATCAACATTGGTGCTGTCGCCTTTAGCTGCCATTTCCAGAGCTTCTTCAAAGGTCTCACAACCAGTCAGCAAGCAACATAGGCCTAGGAATGTTCCACCTCCAAGTCTGGTCCCTGTAACTCTTTTATAGTTGTCCTTGGAGTACACTGCTAGAATGCTGACACCTGAGCCCATGTTAACCAGTAACATAGGGTATGGATTATCAAGGCAGTACGGCTTTTTTTGACACAATTCAGGATTTGTGGGATTTTCAAAATAGTAACGTTCCGGCTTGCCATTGAAGCCAACAGAGTCGACGTAAAGCAGGCCCTGAATCAGACAGTCCAGTTCATCCAGTTTATGCAGCTGCAGGTCAGCAATCATTCTGAAGTCCTCTTCAAACTTGAAAGCCCCACCTCCCGTGGCACAGAGGGTGGTGTGAAGGCTGGAAAAGTTATTCTCGCTGCCCATCTGAATGAACCTGTGCATGGCACAGCTGGGGAAGCGGATGAAGTGGAGGTTCCCTTTGCGCCCACACATGGTCAAGTTTTTCAGTTCCAGGTGGACGTCCCGGATCCCGGTTTTCCCATAAGCAGTGTTAGAAGTCAGATACTTCCGGATGCTCTTCAGGTTCTCTACCTCCTCTTGTTCCTCTTCGGCTGTAATATCCTTTGGTTCAAAGTAGACCAACTTAACCAGTGTTCCACCAATGTCCATGCCGAACCACGGGAACGCTCTAAAATCCAGACACTTTCCTGCTTCTCCTCTGCCATTCCCAAGTCCACATTATCATCGTCTCTTTCTGGGATCTCTTATAATGGCTTCCTAACTGGGTCAGTAGCATTTGCCTTGGCTGCTTCTATTCTTTTCTCCAGAAGATTAGCCTCAGGGCCTTCGATACATCTATTGCTTTAGAGGCAGAATTCAGAGATCCGTGTCCCAGCCAACATAGTAGCGTCGACCGCAGCCGCGAGAAAGTGCCACAGCCGGATCTACACCTAGTTTTTATACCACAACTTTTGCAGATTTTGCTGGCACTGGCCAGCTCTTTACAGACCTAGAGGCAGTAGGGAAGAGTGGATTTTTAAATAAAATAAGTATCAGTGATACTCCCTGTACCGAGCTGCTGTTTGATGGAAATCTGGGTTCATCCAACCAGAGGAGGGAGGATCTTTCAGAGAAGACAGAAGCTGAGAGGGAAAGTTGGACAGACTCCTCTGCCCTGGGGACCGAGTGATGTTCATGTCAACTGTGCCCTCCCTGTTGATTTCCAGCAAGTTTATCTGAAAAGGTTTTAGCAAAGTGGTACGATGGTGTCTTGATATGAGGACAGGGACCTCCTCCCTGCTGCGCCATCCCCTATCCTCAGCCAGCATCCCCAGCCCCTGACCTGTGAGGCGATGCAGCCTATTGGCCAGGAGGAAATAACCCACCATCCTGCCTGCTGAAGGGCCAGGGTTGGGATCTTTGGTGCTTCCAACCTCTTGCCAAGCCAGAGTGTACAACACTGACACCTCCATGGCCTTGCCCAGCAAGGAGGTGAGACATTATGAGAAGTGGTAACATCATGAGGTAGGAACCCTCATGAATGAGATTAGTGTCTTTATCAAATAGGCTCCAGAGAGCTGCCCTGCCCCTTCAAACATGTGAGGACATGGTGAAAAGGCACCATCTATGAATCAGGAAGTGGACCTTCACCAGGACACCAAATCTGTTGATATCTCAATCTTCGACTTCCCAGCCTTCAGAACTATGAGGAATAAATTTCTGCTACCTACTCTATAATATTTTATTATAGCACATAAAATGAACTAAAACAAACAATATCCAAGGTATTAATCTCCGAACTGTAAAACATTAGTAAGCCATTAAATCAAATTGATTTTTGGACATCTTATCAACCTCTTCTAGACTGGTTTAGGCCCAATAACATACATAGAGTGGTCTGCATTTTTTTCTGTCTGTATCTGCAGGTTTTCCCAATGAATAGCGTTACCCTTGCTTGTGATCCTGAGACCCCCATGTCATCATGAAACAGAGAAGAAGATAATCCGTACAATAATGATAACAACAATAACACTAGTTGGCATTTTTTTGGTTTTTCTTCTGTGTCAAGCATTTAGTTCTCACCGCGATCTTATACTGCTAGTGCTATTTTTTTTTTTTTTGAGACAGAGTCTTACTTTGTTGCCCTTGGCAGAGTGTCGTGATGTCATAGCTCACAGCAACCTCAAACTCCTGGCTCAAGAGGTCCTCTTGCCTTAGCCTCCCAAGTAGCTGTGACTATAGGCACCTACCACAGCACCTGGCTACTTTTGGAGACAGGGTCTTGCTCTTACTCAGACTGGTCTTGAACTCCCGAGCTCGGGCAATTCATCTGCATTGGCCTCCCAGAGTGCTAGGATTACAGGAATGAGCCACTACATCCAGCCTCTGCTAGTGCTATTACTATTATTTTCATTTTTATAGTTAGGAAAAATGAGGCTCAGAGAAGTTAAAGTAACATGCCCAAGGTCACATGGGTAATTAAGAAGGAAGAATTAGAACCAAAGGCAAGTTTCCCTGGCTCCAAGTCTGTTATTTTATCCATTAGTTTTCTCATCTATAAAGTGAGACTAAGACAATAAGTTTTGAAGACAGTATAATCTTATATAGAATCTAATCCTACAATACTAAATGTATGACTTTGGGGATGGTAAAGTTAAGCTTGTTGACGTTCAGTTTCCTTATCTGCAGTTCTTAGCTATATCAGTTCCATAAGATTAATTATTGTGAGCATTAAATTCAGAATTTGGTATTTGTGTCTGATCCTCACACCATATTGCTATATTTTCTCAATGTAAATTTATGTCTCTTGTTGAGGATTTGTGCATGCTCTTGGTGAGACTGGCTATAAAACTGTGACTTTGTAATATGTTTTTTTTGGTTTTTAATGTGTCTATTCATTTCAAAAGTGATAAACTGACCATATTCAGGCACACATACCTGCTTTATTTAACTTTCAGTGTTTAAAAATGTTGCACTAGTTGCTGTCATTCATACGACTAACAATAACACAAATGCCTGTCTTTTCAGCTTTTCTTCAGTTCTCTTGTGTCAATAACTGCTGGAAGTGAGTAGCAGCCACACCATTTCAAAAGAGAATATGTTCTCCAGGTTATACAAGTCACTGCCCTTCCCTATTGTATATTAAACCCTGGCCCATTCGTTCATTTACATCAGCAGCCTGACTTCTATAGCATATAAGGTTTGGAACCCTTATTATTTTGTAAGTGATAAATGTTTATTTTAGGAAAACTAGAAGACAAAAGTAAGCAACAAAAAGAAAGATCTGTAGAGCCATCACCCAGACAGAGTCAGTCATTTCTTTCAAATAGGGAGGTAAGTCGGCATATATACGAATAGATGCATTTAGAATATTTGTATACTGATGACAACACATCAGTAATATTTATTATGTTTCCTTATTTGAATGCAGTGAAGACAAAGTGCTCAGGGAATGAGCATATTTCAGTTAGTTTTCTAGTTAACTGAGAAATGAACAGAAATACCATCTATTTTAATGCTTCGCATAGAAAGAACATCCAAATATGTCATTCTGACTTTTAGTTCAGTAAACTAATGATGAGGATTAACGTGGACTATTATTTTTTTCCTACTTTTGTTTCTTTGTTTTATTATTTTTTTTCTTGCAAGCAGGCCCAGGATGGTTTCGAACCCACCACCCCCACTGCGCAGGATCGGCACTCTAACCACTGAGCATGGGCACCCAGAAGTGGACTGTTATATGCTAGCATATTTAAAATCCTTATGGTCCTTGTTTGGTTATATCTGAGATGGTTTGTTCAGGAAACAGATATGAGGAAAGTATAGTAGATTGGTACTAAACTTAGGCTAACCCCTGAATCTTGAGGCTTCACATAAAGTCATTACTCTTTATAACTCCTGAACTAGATTTCTCTCCCTAGCATCATTTTCGGGGATTTCTCAGTCCATACTTGAATCTTTCTAACAACAGACAACTCATTACCGCCTGAGCCATATCCTGTCCTTTTTGGTTAGCTATTAAAAAGTACTTCTTCTTTTTCTTCTTTTTTTTTTTTTTAAAGTACTTCTTTTACTGAGATGAAATCTATGTCCTTCTAACTTCTATCTGTTAAATTTAGTTCTGCTATTTAGGTTCACAGAGAATAAATATGCTTGCTTCTTTTTCTATGTATCAATCCTCTTAATATCTAAAGAGAACTATTACGTCCTCAATGTTTCTTCCCTACCCTGAAATCCTGGTTTCTTTCATGGAGGACTCGATATGGATGGTATCATTTTCAGGCCTTTCGTCACCTTGGTCAACCCCTCTGAAGATACTGTAATCTTCTAATATCTCAGATATTCGCACCCATAAAAGAAAAAAATATGCAGTATAAAAATGAAATATCAAAAAAAATCAAAAAAAATTTTAAGAAATGAAATATTATTTTAATAATAATTTAGTTTCTTTGAGGTTTAGTTGGAGCCAGTTGTTGTTATGGGGGCTGATGTTGCTAAATCAGACAAAAAATGGCCTCAAGCCAGACGCCCGTGGCTCAGTGGTTAGAGCACCAGCCTGTGCACTGGGAGTGGCTGGTTCGAACACAGCCGAAGCCTGCTTAACAAACAAAAAAAAAAAAAAAAGGAAAAAAATTGCCTCAAATTTTCATTGCATTCTCCTTGATGCAGACACAGTTTTGGATACTCCTCACCTTTAAATCTTTCCCTAAATTTCAAGAATCTCAATTTAATTTCAAATTAGCTATTTGCCTCTTTTAAAATTAAGTTGATCTGTAGATTTGTGATTGCTAACAGCACCTCTTACTGTATCAGTCAGTATCAGACTATTTTGTGAGAGAAGCCCTTGTGAGTCATTCAGAGGATATTGCCTGAAAAACTCCATTCTGACAGAGTCCCAAAGGGCAATCAGGCTTATGCCAAATGGCCTAAAGAACAACAACCTGCAGCTGCGATATTTCTCAGAGTATTTCAGGAAAAGGCAAAAGTCATCATTCATTCCTTGAAACTTGACGTGGCCTTCCGGGAATTGTTCAACCTATTTCTAGGAAAGATATTAACCACTTACTGCCACATTGCTTGCTTTTGAGATGACTGTCATCTGCCCTCATTTATGCGATGTTAAGAATCTAGCTCAGTTTGTTGAAATTCATCATCAATGATTTGAACTCAAACATGCCGAATGTTCTTTATACCCAGAACTTGATTGCATAATGACAGTATTGTTCTCTAGTTGTTTCATGCACACAAGCCTTGTCTTGCCAACTGTTTCGTAAGCTTTTTGAAACTCAAGTTCTCATCTTCTACTTCTTCTGTGGTTTTTATTTCCTCCCAATGTCGAGTACAGTAAAGCACTTAATAATTATTTCTTAACAAGATCTGCCTGTGGGCTGTGTAGCTTGGCTCCATGTTAACATTCCACTTTGTGCCATTAACCCCACCCTGCTTTCTAGGAAGCCTTGAGTCACATGGTGCCTGGGCAGGAGAGTTTAGAAGATTAAGACAAACGAGGACGCACTGCTAGACAAAAAATAAAGGACCTACGTTGCTTGAGGTGCTCCAGCTCATACAGATAATGCATGTATTGAGGCTGCCTGGTCCCAGGCAGTTTAAGCTTCCACACGTAGCCTTAATTTGCTCTTTGTGGACCGCTGACAAAAAGTGTTCACAAATTAGGACAAGTGCTCCCCCAAGTCACGGCTTACGTGT